AGCGCGGCCTCCCTGGGCGGGCTGGGGAGCCGCCGAGCTGCGGGGTGTCTGCGTGACCAGTGCGTGCAGGGTTCATCCGCGGTTCAGTGGGTGTTGCAAAGTGCTTCTGCCTGGTGTGGCAACAGGCTTGTCCGCCCAGCCTGGCCTCGACTCCGCGGGTGGACGCGGCGACCAGCACGTGTCCGAGGCTTCCTCGGAGGGCCCCGCCGCTGCAGGCAGAGGTGACCCCTCATTCCTCACCTGGCTGAAGCGCCGGCGTTTCCCACCGGGTAGCAGAACCTCTGAGCAGCTAGTTTCTTGGCTTAGTGGTCTCCCCTCCTCCCGGGGACAGCTGGACCCCCAGGCTCCTTCTGGAAGGCTGGAGAAGGCTGAGTTCCAGCCCTTTATTGGGGCTAGTGCGGCGGAGTGAGAAAGGGGACCGAGAAAGGGGACCAGCCTGGTGCTCCCACCTCGCACCCCCAGGGGCGGCCTGTGGTGGCCAGACCTGCAGACCTTCCAGTCCTCAGGGCTGCTCGGACTTGCGGCAAGGTGGCGGCTGGGCCCAGCCGTCTGGGGCCGTGTCTCTTCACCCTCCCTCCACCTCCGGGTTCCAAAATTCCCTCCGCCTTTCTGAGTGTCCTCCCAGGCTACAAGCCCACACCTTTCCCCTGCAGAGTCGGCGTCTCCTCTGCAGGCCCCAGCTGACTTTGGGGTCTCTCACCCCCACACCCCGCCTGGCGCCCGGCTCCCCTCCTCTGGCTTCTGAACCCTTTTCTCCAGCTTTGCTAGAGGCTGGGCCTCCTGGGGCCTCCTTGCACTCTTTAAATGATCCCTCAGGGGAACCAAAGAACAGTTAACTTTTTTTTTTTAAGATAGCAGCGGGTGGGGAAGTTTAGGGGCAGAAGTTGGATAGCGAGGCCTGAGAAATAAAGATAAGAGGACGTACCCCTTCACCCCAGAGAAGGTGGGTGGTGAGCGTCGAGCTGCGTCCGGCAGGACGGTGCTACCAGCTAGCTCTGCAGGCCGCGGCACGCCCTGCCACCCACACGCCCTGCCACCCACACGCCCTGCCACCCACACGCCCTGCCACCCACACGCCCTGCCACCCGCTGAGGACCAGGCCCCAGGCCTTCTGGCCCATCCCCCATGGCCCCAGGGGCAGAGCCGCACCCACAGTGCCCCAGCGCCTGCCGGCCTGACTCACTTCCTCTCTGAGGCTGCGAGGTGCCCGCTCCACTTCCCTCAGCTGGACTGAGGTACTGGACGGTCATCGGGGCCCTGCACACGTGGACTCGTGGACTCGGCTGTGGGAAGTGGGATTCCCGAGAGACTGGCTCCCGGCCACAGAAGCCTCAGGGGTCAAGGAGTGGGGCGTGGGGAGCAGAGACGCAGGTGTCAGGAGCTCTGGAAAGGAGGGTTTCCCCCAGCGGGACTCCGCGCGAGTGAGGCCCAGGCGTCTGACGTCGGGAAGTGCGAGGTGTCTGCAGAAAGCAGGTGCAGCTAGCGCTGGAGGCGCTTGGAACCCACTGCTGCAGTTTATCTGTTACTGCCTGTCTCCCTGTGTCCCCCAAGAGGGACCCCAATTCCGTCATTCTCGCGGCTCAGTGGGGAAAACGCTCTAAGTAGGATGGAGACCCAGATGCTGTTTTCAACGCCGTGACCTTCAGGAATCCCTCCGCCTCCTGGCGCCTAGCTGCAGAGATAGTGGACAAGGTCACCTCAGATCTTCCCCAGAAACGCTGAGTGGACACGGAGAGATGGGAGCAGCCTCAGCCTGGCCTAGATTGACGAAGCGAAGCCCAGAGCCAGAGGATGGCGCCCAGCGCGGGCGAGGCCACGCTCCCGGCCGGCAGCGCCCTGCGAGGCCTGCGCCAGTGTCCAGGTTGAGCTGGACTGGCACCCCGCCAGCGCCCAGAGTGGAGACCAGCAGCCCGCCCGTCCCCGTCTACCCCTCAGCTACTGGGAAGGAAGCAGCGCCCCAGGGACCCACCCGAGTTCCGCCCCAGCTCCCCCCACCACCCCCGCACTGCCCGCCCACCGAGTCCAGCGGGAACCCCCAGTCCGCAGGAGGCAGCACCCCTTGGTGTCTGGGTGCGCCGAGGCTGGGGAAACTCCAGAGGCCACTAGGAGGCCCAAGGTCCTGGGGGCTGCTGATGCCCTCTGGTGGCCAGATGGGGACCGGTGAGGACAAGCCGCAGAGGGGAGTAAGTTACACCGAAGCAACATTCTATCAATATCGCTAGACATTAGTTAACTTTTTGAGGAGTGTACTTGACACTGTGTCCCCGTTCTAAAGGTTTCCCTGTGTTAATTTCTTTAAAGATTCATTTATGCATAAAAGAGCTGGGTGCAGGCCACAGGTGGGGGGGTGAGAGGACTCCCCAGAGACAGAGTGGGGAGCAGAGCAGGCGGACCCACTGAAACACGCTGCTGAGGGGAGCAGCGGAGACAGGGGGGTGCCTGCCGCGCCCGGGGCCCTCCCTGGCGCGGTGCACTCAGGCTGCAGACAGCTTCCCTGGGCTGAGCCTCCCGCCCTGCGCCATGGGAGAGCCCCTGTGTTAATCGTTCTCACAGTTGCTTAGCCACTGCTCTGTGAGCTTTGGGAAACAAGCGAGGCTAAGGCTGTCGCCCCAGGTCACACAGTACACCAGAATTCCGGATCTCAGGCTTGTAGCTCCAGAATCTTCTCTTTTGACATCATGCTGAAACCAAGTCCCATTTCTCATGTTGCCAATTAAAATACAGCAAGTCAGTTAAATTTTAATTTTAGGTAAACAAAAAATAATTTGTTAGCATACGCATATCCTGCGATGTATTTGGGTCATACTTGACAGCAGCAACCATCCTAGTGAAGTTCTAACTCACCTGGCTGCCCTGTATTCTCACTGACTACCTGACAGCCCTAATTTGGAAGGCCGTCGTTGCTGCCAGAATCCATTACCCACTTAACCTCCCAGGAAACCTTCCCTCCGATGCCCCGGGGTGCCCCACCCTGCCTCTCCCAGTGTCCCCATTTTTCAGGTAAAGAAACTGAGTCCTGAAATGACTGGCTGAGGGTACGGAACACAGCCGTGTCGGAGCAGGGACTGAGCCCACGTTCTCCGGTAAAATCCAGCTCATGCCTTTGTTTTCCAACAAGAACCGGTGCGTTTTCACTCTATCTGCCTGGGTCCATAGGGCAGGAAATAATAACTTCAACCAAAGGGAGATGAGAGAAAAGACACATGGAACGAAGCGTGCGTAAAGGGCCAGACAGGAGCGGGCCTGCATGGTGCCGAGAGGCCAGGCAGCCTCGAGGGGCGGCGAGGTGAAGAGGGAAACGAGCAGAGGGACGGCATTTCGTTATTTGGTAGTATTTATTTAGCGGACGAGACCTGGGGTACAGGCCGGAGGTGTGGGGGGTGAGAGGATTCCCCAGACAGTGGGGAGCAGGACAGGCGGGCTGACTGAGGGAGCAGCGGGGGGACGCCCCGGCCGGGGTGGAAGTCCAGCTGCAGCGGCTGCGGCTTCGCAGTGCTGCGCTCTGACCGCCCGCCACCAGGCGGTTATCAGTTATCAGTTTAAAAAGAAATTCTTTCCCTTTTCGCTAAGATGGCGCCATAAGCAAAGGAAGAGGCCCCTGCCCCTCCCAAAGCTCTAGCCGAAGCAAAAGCTTAAAAAAAAGTGTACGGGCCTCCCTGGGCGCGGGGGTCAGAGCGCAGCACTGAGAAGCTGAAGCCGCTGCGGCAGGCCTCTCCTGACCGCCCGTGCGCCCCTCGGCAGTGGGCTTCCGCCATCTCTCTGCTCTGCTCCCCACTCTGTGTCTGGGGAGTCCTCTCACCCCCTGCACCTCTGGCCTGTCCCCCAGTTCTGTGTGCATAAATAAATATTTTTAAAAATTTTTTTAAAAAGCATATTGCAGTAACTGACAACACCGTGGATGTACATAGTGGGGTACACTGCCCGCCTTCCGATGACGGAGGGGGCCGCAGCCCCGAGGCTGCCCAGGTGCCCCCAGAAGAGCATCCCAGCAGAAACCAGCTTGACCACTAGGCCATGATCACGGCCTCCTGGCCCCCAGCCAGCCAGGAGGAGGCAGGAGGGAGCACCCCCGCGCACCTGTTACACAGGCTGAAGGAAGGGCCTGAGCTTGGCAGGGCCGAGGTCACACCTGGCCACCTCGAGGGAGAGGAGGCGCATGTCCCCTGGCCCCGGGTGTTGTCAGTGACAAGGCTGGGGCCCTGGGCGCTGAGTCCAGCTGGCTACGTCTAAGGTCGTTTTCCTCGTCCAAAGATAATTAGGCAAAACCTAGTTCTTGGATCCTTTGTCTCTTCGTTTCCTTCCTTCCACAGAGCCCGGGTGCCACTCAGACCCATCCTGAGAGCCTGGGCCAGGTCCGCAGGGGGGTGCTGTCCAGCCCGGAGCGGGGTGACTCGTCCCGAGGCGGGGTCCGCAGCTGCCGGCCCGCTCCCCACGGCTTCTCTGCGCCCAGCGCCCCTGGCCCAGCGGCTGAGGTTGCGTCACTGCCAGTGGGACAGGCCTGGCAGCCGCGGGCGGGAAGGGGCCTGCAGGTGGACTGGCCTCCGGCCGCGCGGGGGGACGCACCCCGGAGCAGGGCGCCCTTTGCATTCTTCTCTCTCTGCAGCCAGCTCGTGCGTCAGACGCTGGTGCCCGCCCGCCCGCCCGCCCGCCCCTCGGAGGTGAACAGTCCACTCACCACCCCGCCCAGCCGGCTCACTGCTGAGCCAGTCATCAGCAGGGAGTTTCTGGGTTGGGACCCCCTCTGGAGAGCAGGCTGGGGTGCCTGCTGGTATGCGCCCCGACAGGTTTTGCTCTATCGGCCTTGAGATCAGTCTGGAGCCAGTCTGACCTGCCCCCAGGGCGCCCGGGCCAGAGGCAGGGACAGTCAGGCGCTGGACTGACTTAGACCGGGCCTCCGTGGCCGGCCGGCCCAGCGCGCAGTCTCCTGCGTGGGGCTGGGCTGCCAGAGGCGGGGTTCTCTGGGGGCCTGGCCGGCTACTAGAGCAGAGATGCTGGCAGGGCAGGGCGGCGCTGGGATTTGGGGCCAGGCACAGGCTGGTCCTCCCCACGTTGGGAGGGGCCGGAGCTGGGCTGGCCGAGCAGCGGGCACACACCCCTGTCTCGCCACTGCGCTGGTGCCACCCGCATCTCGCCCCGGCCCTCTGGTAAGCGCTGGCCGCCGCCTGTGGGGGTGGGGGTCACCCGAGGGGGAGAAAGGAGGCTTTCTTTGCCTTCCAGAGGGCCTGGCCCAGGCCCAGCTGTCTCTGCGCCCGCAGAGCACACGTCACGCCCCTCCGCGGCCGGACCCGAGGCTCTGGGGCGGGAGGCTGGTGCAGGTCGCAGCCCCGTGGGCACCTGGTGGCGGGGCTGAAGGTGGGGGAGCATCACCCCCACCCCACAGCCCCACAGGCCGACTGCAGCCCCCGCCCAGCCACCAGCCAGGCCCGGGCGCTGGGTCTGTGGGGTCTCCCGCTGCAGCCTGAGGTCGGGGCGCTCGGGACCAGCCCTGCAGCTGGGAGCCGGCTCTTGCTGGTTCCGGCACCCTGGGCAGCCCTGGCTCTGGGGGAGGGGGGGTCTTCCCGCCTCCGCGCAGGGTCTGGTTCTGGCTCCAACCTGCCAAGCGGGTTGCTGCTCTGTCTGCAGTGCGGGGACAGCTAGGGGGCCCCCGGCTCCAGGTTCTGGGGCGCCACAGACACCCCAAGGACGAAGCGCCTCTCCTGTTCCCAGGAACAGCGCACCATGTCGGCAGGCAGCAGCGAGACAGGAGCGCCCCTGACCCAGGAGCTCCTCAGCCACCTGGGCCTGGCGAGCAAGGTAGGGCGGTGGGGTGCCAGGGGCCATCGCTCCCCTCAGCGCAGGGCTGGGGCGGCGGCCGGGCAGGCGCGTGGGCCGGCCCCCAGTGCCCCCCACGCTCTCGCAGGCGGCAGCCTGGGGCACCCTCGGCACCCTGAGGACCTTCCTGAGCTTCAGTGTGGACAAGGACGTGCAGAGGCTGCTGAGCGCCATCGCCGGCCAGGGTGAGCCCCCGGGAGCCCCGGCCCCCGCCCAGGGAGGGGGGTTTCCTGCACCGCGACACCCCACAGAGGCGTTTCCAGCTTCCAGCCCCAGGGCACAGGCCTCCCCAGAGTGGCACCGCCGGGCCTGACTCTGGGTGGGATCTGCATGGCACTGGGGCCCCCGGGAACCCTCACGGAGGCGGCTGGGGCTCTGCTCCCCACCTCCCGGCCCTCTCCGCCTCCCTCCTGCCTCCTCGGGGCCTCGTGTGCTGGGGGTAAGGGGCCCGCCTGTAAAGACCCCAGTGGGTCTCCCCGGCCACAGCCCGGCCCCACCTTGGCTCAGCTGTGGACCACCGGGCCGTCCTGGACGTGCTGACCAACCGGAGCCGCGAGCAGAGGCAGCTCATCGCCCGCAACTTCCGGGAGCGCACCCGGCAGGTGACCCTCGGGCGGCCGGGGCGGCCAGCTGCAGGGCTGAGGCGAAGAGCTCCCCACACACACCTCCGCGCCCCGGCCCCGCAGGACCTGCTGGCCTCCCTGCGCGCTGCCCTCTCCGGCACCCTGGAGTGGACGGCGGTGGCCCTGCTGCAGCCCGCAGCCCAGCAGGATGCCCAGGAGCTGCGGAGGAGCCTGCAGGTGGGCGGGGAGGGGCCGCCC